ATCGGGGCTCCGGTCCGGTTCTTCCAGCCGGAACATCGGGGCTCCGGTCCGGTTCTTCTAGCCGGAACCTCGGGGCTCCGGTCCTTTAAAAAGTAGCATCTTCACAGCAGGAAGCAGAGCTCCTCCACAGACGGAGGATTTAAATCATCCGGCCCATTTACAGCTGTTAACCGGCGCCTCAGCGTTTCTCCAGAACTCTCCATTTGTTTCTGTCCAGCACAGCCTTTCCTTTCCTGAGGATCTGGAATCTGTTCAACTCTAGAACCTTCCAGATTCTCAGCAGGAGGTTTCTTAACTTGTTTCAGAATTAAGAACGCCTGTAGCGACCTCGGATCAGAACAACCAGGAATAAAGCATGGCGGCGCCGCCATCGTGATCAGAGTCTTCCAGCAAACTAAACTCTGGTGTCAGAACCTTCATTGATTGGTTCTGTCCAGTTCTATAGAAATGGTGCTACTCAGGGTTCTGGTTCTGATGCTGTTTTGAACTTTCAGGTTCTGTTCTGCCGCAGTTATTCAGGAATTGATTTCTCTACCAGTCAGAGCGTGATACGGTTCCCAGATTGGTTCAGATAAGTTTGAAACTGTCCAGGTCTGCCTGGAAACTCTGAAGAGTCCGCGGGTTTCCAGGCAGTCAGAAACAGGAACATGAAATCAATCTGTTTTTATTATCTTAGAAAATGTTGAATCAATTCTTCTTCGTTCAGTTTGTTAAATAAATTTCTCTCCATACATGAAGTCGGAGGTTCTGGAGTTCAGGTCTGGTTTTAGTCTTCGCTCAGACCCGTTCAGCCTCACAGGAACCGGTCATTAGAGACGCAGCCATCATATCTTTCTGGATGATCCTCCATCGGAGGGACCCTGCTCTAATTTATAGAATAATTATTTTTATTTATGTATTTAATTTTCCATTCATTTATATTCAGAAGGAAAGCCTGATGTCCTCTCCTCCATTAACCCAGATGATGCATCTCAGGGAGATATGCATGAAATAAAACAACAAAATAGTTCTGATCTTTAATGATCTGAAAATACGTTGATTCTGATCTAGAATAATCAGATCTATTCTGAACTGAAGGGTGCTGACCTGTGGCGGCCTTAAACTGATTCTAGATCAACCAGGAAATCCTAGAACTGAGAAGAACCTGGAACCGTTTCTACTTGTTCTGTAGAACTCGGAGCTGCAGTGATGATGGTCCAAATGTTCCTGGTGCCTTAAAACGGCTTCACCGCTTTCATCTGTTTGTTTTATCTTAAATGTTTGTTTGGTGTATGTAGAATATTTTTATAGAAGCTGCTGGAAAATAAAATCTTTTTCAAACCATTTTTCGGGTCTTTTCTGTAAAACAAAACTCAACCTCAGAACCTGGTCATGTCAGCCAGTCTGGAGTCCGGCGCCGGATCGTAGAACCAGCAGGAGGAGAAAGGCTAACGAACCGCAGAGCAGACAGCAGAAGCATGTAGATCCATCTTCTCTGAAGATGAAGCCTGTATTTATTGATGGCTTCTTATGAATCAGCTCAGTTTTTAATCAAACTTTTTATAAAAACAGGGACTTGATGCCAAGATATGCTAATTGTGTAGCAGAACGATGATGGGACTGAATCCTGGCCTTGGGTGTTTCTGTGTGGAGTTGACATGGTCTGCCCAGAATGTTTGGCTTTTCTCTGGCTAATCGGGCTTCTTCCTAGAGTCTAAAACATCCTGGGTAAACTGGTCGCTAAATTACTGTGCATTCACACCAGACACTATTTAAGTATCAGGAAATTTGGTTTACAGTTCAGTTTATTTCTATAGCTCCA